AAAAAAAAAAAAAAAAAAAAAAAAAAAAAAAAAAACAGGGTTCAAAGTTTATACCTGCTCTTTTCCAAGCCAGCTTTGGATAAATCACCATGCTCGAGCGCCAAACGGTCAGAACGCAAGCGAGAATCCGAAGGGAGTAACATTTTTGGTGCAGTGTCAAAGCTGTTTAATTTGTGTGCAAAATACGTGTACTGAAACTTATCGTCTTTTGGGGCATCAGCAACCTTCCAAACCTATCAGGCAAGAAATTATCGAAAAATTGGATTTTATTTTATTTTTTATTTATTTTTAATTTTTTTTCAAAAGAGCACCCTTGCGATATGACGTCATTAAAATATTGACGAGTCAAATTTAATTCATGAAGGTACCTCTTCCAGTTTGGAGCCGGGCAACGGTTCTCCTTCAGAATCGCAAGGCTGATAGCTCATGAACTCGTTCCATTTTCCAGTCATCAAGAATTTAGGTTCTTCATCGGCATTGTATACGTATCCATCCACTTCATAACGACCGGCACTGCATAATCACAGATTATCATGAAATTTTACCGAAGATAAGCTTTGGAATCAACTAGGGCTGTTAACGAACAGAACATTCGCAAACAAAAGCTCGTTTTTGTTCAACAAGAGCTCGTTTGTTAGTTAATCGAGCAGAGTTTGAATAGAGAATTAGGCTCGTTTAATATCAGACGAACACGAGATCGTTCTGAGTTAAACATTTCCCCCAACACTCTTAAGTTCTGAGGGAAAGCTTATTGCAGTATTAAAATTGTGTAGATAATAATAATATAAACCACCAAAATTTCTGATATAAACAATTAGGTAAGAAAGCACTCACCCGAACCACCCACAAGGTTGGAAATACAAAACAACCTTATCTCCCGTGGTGAGGTTAGTCAAAATCATATCACCGGGCGAATCAACCCAAGTTCGTCCGAAAATGATATTGTTTGCTTTCGAAGGAGGAGGGACCAAATCCAAAACCACGCCTGACTTTTTAAGGGTTAGCCTTGTCCTGTACCATATGCATAATCGAAACACAGTACAAAAAATAAGCAACTCGAAAATGAAGCAGGCGGCAAATCAGTCGAGTTTTCTTGAGTGGGAAGTTACAGGAAGATAATGTAATAATAAAAAAATTGTTTGACATGAGAATAGCTTATGTACCTTCCAACAGGATATATATCAACCGAGTTCCCTAAGAACTTGGTCTTCACCTTTGACGTAATATCATACACAAAATGCTCGTTTTCCGCATGAGCTGCGCTCATTGGAGGGTGATGGCTCACCTGATAATTAAAATATCATCTGGTCAAAAAAAACACGGAAGATTTGTAATAGCATCACCATTATGAAATGTCCAATATGAGGATCACCTGCTCGGCAATAAATGTGATGCCATCATGATTAACCATTTCATATGTTTCTCCAAGAATCGGATTAAATGGCTTCCAGGTCCTTTGTAAAGCGTAATACACAGAAACGAACCAAGCAGCTGAAGGAAATATAGTTCCATCAATATTGCTTTATAAGGATCAGTAGGGAATTAAGTTAAAAAAAAAAAAAAGAGGACATTTAGATATCTTCAGGGATTGTATGTACTGAACAATCAACCATATTTGGTGCTACATATGGAATTGAGGCATATTTGTAAATTTTAGATGATTATTTCTTTCTTTGTGATAATAAGGCTGAACGTTAGGGGCTACGTGAAAATTACACAACAGAACGCATTACCAGCATAGACCAGTCTCATGTGAGGATCCTCACATTCATCAGCCAATTTCAATAGATGAGAGTATTCCATTAGCTGCAAACAAAATTTTGCATTGTTTATATTTACTCCTCGAGCTTAAAGAGACAGTAAACAGCAATCAAGTGAGATAAACCAAAAACCTCCGCCATCTTCTGAAGCATTGACATGGGCTCAAAGATGAGAACTGGAAGCGTCACCATTGATGTGATATCTGACCCAATATACCGTTGCATCATTTTCCAATAACTGTCACGGTCCTGGAAAAGAAAACTCAAATGTTACGAGTTTGATGAGCATAAACAGTAAATGACATGTTGTATACTATACAAAAACAGCAAACCAAGTCGTTAAAATCCCACTAAGTGGGGTCGGCTATATGGATCGCATGTCGCGATCGAGCTCGATCAAAACACATATCCTCATTCAAATTTCAATATTTTATATCATTTTTTATTGTTTCCTTCCAAGTTTTCTTAGGTCTACCCCTCCTTCTTAATTTGCATTTAGCCTTGAACTTTCCTATGCACATGCCTAAACTATCTTAATCTCGTGATTCACTCATTTTCTCCTTTTCATAGACGCTACCCCAACTTTATTTCAAATATTTTCATTTTTAATATCATCTAACCTAGTATGCCCACACCTCCATCTCAACATTTTCATCTCGCATTAGTTGATCAATTTCATATTTAGTAGTCCAACATTAGGATCCATAAAGCAACATTAGTGGGAACTCGCCTTTCAAACTCACTGGTACACAAAGTATCGACAACGCGCTCCTCCACTTGTTCCATCTCGATTGAATTCTATGTGTTACATCCTTATGGTGCCATTATCTTCTAGAATGGATCCTAAATATTTAAAACTGTAGGATGTGTTCAATTTGTGTTCCTCAATTTTAACCTTTACCCCATTATTACTCCTTTGATTACTAAAATTATACTCCATATATTCCGTATTGACCCTACTTATTTTGAAACCCCTAGATTCAAGTGTCTCTCTATGTTTCTAACTTAGCATTTACCATCTCTCCCGTCTCATCTACTAACACTATGTCATCTTTAAACAACATAGAATTGGTGACACCCAATTGCAAATGTTTCATAAGTTCATCAATTACTAATGCAAAGAGATACAGACTCAAGCCGAACCTTGATGCAAACCAATAGTGATAGAGAAATCACTCGATGTCCAAACACAAGTTTTCACAGTATAATACATATCTTTTATGGTTTCTACATAACCAACTCTACCCCCTCTTTTCTAACACTCTCCACATTATACCCATATGCTTTTTCAATTTCAATAAAGACCATATGGAAAGTTTGTTTTTTCTCATTAAAATGTTCATAAAGTCTCCTTATTACATGAATAGCTTCCATTGTTGATCTACCCGACATAAAGCCAGATTGGTTTTCCTTATGTTTGTTTCTTGCCTTAATCTAGTTTTTATTACTCCCATAATTTCATTTCATTGTGTGACATATTAGTTTTATGCCCCGTAGTTTGTACAACTTTGTATCTTCTCTATTTGTTTATAAACAAATGTATTAATGTATTTTTCCTCCATTGGTTTGGAATTTTCTTACTCGTCATGATTATTGTTAAACAAGTTCGTACGTGAATGAATTCCAAATTTACCAAAGCATCTCCATGCCTCTATTGAAATATCATCGGGACCTAGGCTTTGCCATTTTTCATTTTTTCATTGCTTTCTCTACTTCCTTGGTTTGGATACTTCTATGGTATGTGAAATATTTTTCACTTTCCTCTAATTTCTAGCGATATTTCTCAATTATCTACTTCATTAAATAGTGTATGAAAATAATCTTCTTATCCTCAACTAATAACTAACCATTTTCATCTTTTATGCATTTAATTTAAATTTTGTTAGGTCATTTGCCATCTTTTCTCTTTGATTTGCAATTTTATAGATGTCCTTTTTTCCCTCCTTAGTATAAAAAGTTTTCGAAGGCTTTGCTTCACTTACCAACTTTTTCACTTTTTAGCATTTTTATATTTTTCTACGTTTTCATTTGTATAGCAATGTAACACACCTTTTTCTCCTTAATATTTCCTTGAATATCTTGATTCCACCACCACGATTCTTTAGTACCCTTACTACCTCTAGAAACCCCTAATTCTCATTTAGCAATTGATTTGATCTCTTTAACTACCTTACCTTCTCGCATGTTCTAGTTGCATCTCTTTTCATACTCCAATTAATGTTTTCAAGTAAAGTCTTAGTATCTTTCCCTCTTATCTTTGTTATTAAGATTCCACCACGTTATCCTAATTACCTTAGAAAATTTCTTCTTGCCTTGACTACATTTAATTCTTATATCCATGACTAGTAACTATGTTAAGTAAGACCCTGGTATTAGAATCATATAAAATTTCCCAAATAAAATCATATAAAATTTCAAGATACCACCTCCTAATTGATCAAGAATACTAGAAATTTGTACAGGCACTCAAATGTCAATACCTCTTGCTTCCATCTGCCTTTTTGGGCCTCAGTTTCAGCATCACCGGTGCCTCCTTCGGGATTTATGACTTCTAGTCCTTCATAACCTAACAAACTAAAGTGGAAAGAAAAACGAGTAAAAAAAGCTTGCGTGCACATGTATCGTGATATCATCTTATGTGTTCCAAACCCTCAATATAGCTACCACTGCTTCCAGTACAAACAACTTTTCGGGTAATTAAACAGAATCTATCATCAGTAATAACAATCAATAAGTCACTTGAACATTATTAAAGGGATTCAAAGTAACAACAAAAGTGTCATGCATTAATTTCTTTACAAATGAGCCAATACGTTCCCTAAACTTAGCCACTAAATTGGTTAGTCAAGCATGAGGGGAAAAAACCAGAAATCCCGAACGAGTACATGATATATTTCACCATTAAGATGAAACATCAAATGTTCCAAATCCATACAATAATCAATAACCCCTGTAAGAGCTATCAGCAAGCCAAACAGCAAAAAGAATCCCAAAGATGTCAACTTCTACTAGATTCAGAAACCGAAAATCAACAAAACACGAACAACCAACAAAAATCATTAACAAAAATCGAATCTTGCAAGAGCAAAGCGAAATCAAGGACGAGTACATGATCTAATACACCATGAATTGTTAAAAATTCATACAATAATCGATAACCGATTGCAAGAACTATCAGCAAGCCGAGCAACAGAAAGAATCCCAAAAAATGCCGACTTCTACAAGATTTAGAAACCCAAAATCAAGAAATCACGAACATACTTGTACTAGATTTAGAAACCCAGAATCAATAAATCACGAACAACTAACAAAAATCGAACATACTTCTACTAGATTTAGAAAACGGATCAAGAACAAGTACATGATACAACACACCTTGGAGATGAAACATCAAATGCTCCAAATCCATACAATAATCAATAACATTAACAAGAACTATCAGCAACAAGCCGAGCAAAAAAAATTGAATCCCAAAAAAAATTACAACTTTACCAGATCTGGAAACCCAAATTCGACAAGACACGAACAAATAACAAAACAATCATTAAAAAAATCGAATCTTGCACAAAACAGAGAAAAGGGTCGAGGGATCGCATGGTACTGAAAAATACCCATTAACGGATTTGGACATGGCGGAGAAGGTAGATGCTATGGAGGCGAAAAACCCAGTTCCCTGTTTCTGACCGTCCATCGTACCCACAAATCAAAATCGCAAAATGCTAAAAAAAAAAAAAAAAAAACAAAAAAAATCAGGATTTAGAGCTGAGAATTTTTGCAGATAAACAACGTTCAATTCAACTATGTATCAAAAGCCTTCGCCGAATGCTAGGCTTTTACAATTATGTGTTTGAAACTTCAAAGTTAAAACGACGTCGTAATAATGAAAGTTTTGTGCTTTTTCTTCGTGCGAGGCCAAAAAAAAATCAGTCAACTATTGTTACACAGTGGGTGGGCCAGAGAGTCCTTGTGAAATAGCCGAGATATTTCTGGTGCATGTGATTTTCTTCTAGATGCTTTTTAATTTTTGGACATAAATTATTACAATTTTATTAAATAAATGGTGGTTTTTTTTTTTTTTTGGATCAATACATGAAAGTATAAGATTTTCTTTTAATTGCTAAATTAAATGAGTCTGGTTCGGGTTCGAGTCATTAATGTAAGATTAGAGAATCGAGGCAAGAGGGTACGGTTCTGCTAGAAACAAGACAAGAGAGATATGATGACGGCCATCTTTTTCCCATGATGCCGCTCCAAACAAACCAAAATATATATCAGCATTAGAGTTCACAATTACCATAAATATACCTAAGGCTAATACAATAAATACAAATATCAGACACAATAACACCCCCCCCCCCCCCCCTAAAGTTGGAACATGCGGATTCCGAATGCCCAACTTGCCAAGAAAGAAATCAAATTCACGTTTCCCAAGCGCTTTGGTAAAGATGTCAGCCAACTGTGCGCCAGAGGGAACATAAGTGGTAGAGATGAGACCCTTCATAAGAGCATCACGAACAAAGTGACAATCCACCTCAATGTGTTTAGTGCGCTCGTGAAAAATCGGATTCGCAGCAATATGCAGAGCAGATTGACTATCACAATGCAACCGCATAGGTTGAGAATGAGCGACACCAAGACAAGATAGCAATCCCCATAACCACTTCAACTCGCACAAGGTACTAGTCATCGCCCGATATTCAGCCTCAGCAGAAGAGCGAGCAACAGTATGTTGTTTCTTGGTTCGCCAAGAAACAGGAGACTGACCCAGCTGAACAAACCAACCCGAAAGAGATCGTCTCGTGAGGGGACAGCTCAATCCGAATCACACCACGCATAAAGTTGAAGATCAAAATCAGAACGAAGAAGGATCCCCTGACCAGGAGAGCCCTTCAAATACCGAACCACACGCATTGCAACGTCCCAGTGAGACTGGCGTGGTTGATGCATGAACTGAGCAAGCATATGCACAGAATAGGATAACTCGGGTCGAGTAACTGCTAGATAAATAAGTCGCCCAACCAAACGTCGATAACGTTCAGGATCGGACATTAGAGCAAACTCTGCGAGAGGAAGCTGGTGATTTTGCTCCAACGGAAGATCGGCAGGTTTGCTCCCTAACAGTCCGGCTTCAGCAATAATGTCAAGAGCATACTTCCGCTGACAAAGAAAGAAGCCAAAAGTATTTCTGGCAACCTCTATACCCAAAAAATACTTAAGCGGCCCAAGATCCTTCATGTGGAAACAACGATTCAAGTAACTCTTAAAAGTTGCAATGGAGGTGGTATCATTGCCAGAAATAATCTGATCATCGACATACACCAAAACCTGCAGATGAAGAGAACCACGATGCAGGGTAAAAAGAGAGTAATCATGGTAGGACTGACAGAAACCATAGTGTTTGAGAGTTGATGCTAACTTGGCAAACCAACAGCGGGGAGCCTGCTTCAAGCCATATAGAGAACGACGAAGATGACAAACTTGTCCATCAACACCAGTTCGAAAGCCAGGTGGGAACTTCATATACACCTTCTCATCCAAATCACCATGCAGAAAAGCATTGTGAACGTCCATTTGGTGACCTTCCCTAACGCCTGGCAGCAGCTACAGCCAAAAACAGTCGGACTGTAACCATTTTGGCGACCGGAGCAAAAGTCTCATGATAATCAAGACCTTCCACTTGGTTGTTCCCCAAAATTACCAGACGCGCTTTATAGTGCTCAATAGTACCACCGGCTCTGTGTTTAACCTTAAAGACGCATTTGCACCCAATAGCACGTTTTCCAAAGGGGAGAGAAACCACATCCCACGTGCCATTATTTTCCAAGGCACGAATCTCATCCTGCATAGCAGCTCGCCATCGAGGGTCAGTCACGGCATCCGCAAAACCACGAGGCTCAACAGCGGAGGCGACAACAACTAAGAATGCTCGATGAGCCGGAGAAAATGACTCACAAGAAACGTAATGTGCTATGGGATAAGACGTACCTAAGGATAGAGACGGCTCATGAGAAGCAGCGGGGAGAGCAGTCGAGCGACAGACAGTATCAACCACAAAGTCCTTCAGTCGAGCAGAAGGAATCTTAGTCCGATGACCACGACCTAAAGGTTCCATCGGAGGAAAAGCATAACCCCCCTGTCATCGGACGCACTCATATCAGTAGCAACAGCCCTAGTGTCAGAAGACATGGGTGGCACATTGATCACTAGAGGCTCCTCATCATCTGGGTCAGAAGAAAGTGGCAACACAGAAGGTAATGGTAGAGAGTCGGACCCAGACGAGGCAGACAAATACGGAAACTCAGTCTCCAGAAACTCCACATCATGGGAGACAAAGAAAATCTGACGATCTAAGTCATACAGACTCCACCCCTTCTTGCCAAACGGATATCCTACAAACACACAACGACGACTCCTAGTAGCAAACTTGTCACCATTACGGTCTTGGTTATGAGCATAGCAAAGACAACCAAAAACACGTAAATGAGACAAGAGAGGAGATGAGCCGTAAAGGATCTCATACGGAGTTTTAACGTTCAAAACTGATGAAGGGGTACGATTGATCAAATAAGCCGCAGTCAGAACACAATGACCCCAAAAAGGAAGCGGCAAGTGAGCTTGGAACTGCAGGGCACGAGCGACATTTAGAATGTGTTGATGCTTGCGCTCCACACACCCATTCTGCTGAGGGGTGCCAATACAAGAGGTCTCATGCAAAATTCCTTCACGGCGAAAATAAGAGGACAAACACAAAAAACTCAGTCCCATTATCACTATGAACAACATGCACCAGCTTTCCAAATTGCCTCTTAATCATGGCAAAAAAAATCATCAGAATAGAAGCAACCTTCGTTTTATCATTTAATAAATAAATCCATGTCCCACGAGAACAATCATCCACAGTAGTTAAAAAATATCGTGCACCACAGAAGGCCGGAACACGATACGGACCCCACAAATCGCAGTGAATCAAATGAAAAATCTCATGAGTAACAGTCTGATTGAGAGGAAAGTTACGACGATGTTGTTTAGCACGAAAACAAGCATCACAAGATTTATTCAAACCATGACTACTAGAATCAATAATAGGAACCTGCGACAATACTTGGGCAGACGGATGACCCCGACGCTGATGCCACACATCGACAGAAACTCTCCTAACATAAGAGACCGTTGTAGAAACTGCCCTCGAAAGAAGTAGAGACCCCCAAATTGCTCACCCACGCCAATCACCTGCCTCGAAATACGGTCCTGAATAACACACAATTTATTAGTAAACTGGGCGGTGCAGTCAGAACGTTCCAATAATTGATATAATAAAATCAAGATACAACAAAGGCTGGGAACGTATAAAACATCATGAAGAGTGATTTGAGGACCCAAATAAACAGTCCCAGCCTTGCTAGCCATAGTTAAAGAACCGTTAGGCAACTGAACTGGGCGAGCAGAAATATCCCGAATATCAGAAATAAAATCGATAAATCCTGTCATATGATGAGTTGCCCCACAATCGAACATCCAATCAAATAAATAACGTTTGCCAGACAGGTGATTGTTCTGGTTAGCGGAGTTATCAGAATCAGTCAAAGAAGCATTGCCAGGAGAAGAACCGATACTAGCGGCAACGAACGGCTCACCAGTAACGACAGAAACCATGACATTTGTGCGAGCGCCGCCTTTGTCGCGCGTGCTATCACGTCTGCATCCAGTACGACCGCAGCCACCTCCAGAATTATACCCTTCCGGATACCCAATGAGCTCATAATATGTCGCGACAAGGTGGCCCATACGGCCACAATGAGAGCACCGGGGACGGCCACCGGCGCGCTGCCCGGAAGCACCCGTGCTCCCAGCCACATTAGCAAACCCGGCATCCCACCTTGAAAGTGTCACTGTTGAAATTTGAAGCTCGTTCGCGGCCGCGGTGAAATCCAAGAGCGGCTGCTCGTCAGTCGATATAGTCAGAATGTGCTCCTCTTGAATCATTGTAGACTAGACTCGATTCTACGAAGAAAGCGGATCTTGTGCAATAAGCCGATTGAGAGGGACCACAGTAACTGAATGAATTTCTTTAATTAAAATAGCAAATCTGAATTAAGACCTTTCAATTGCTGTGGAGTTGCAAATTGAATTAAAAACAAATTGACCAATTGAAATCCTGTTAAGGAATTGGTCGCATCTGAATTGAGCAATTGAGAAAGTGTTGTTGAACAATTGAGCACTTGAGCAATCCGAATTAAAAACAACTGACCGCAGTGCACTTGAACAATTGAACGCAGAGCAATCCGTAACAAACAATTGAGCACTTGAGCAAATCCAAATATTCTTTCTTTTTTTTTTTTTAAGATTCTTAGCAGCCTGGACGTGGCTGAATCGAAAGGATATAATACAGCGGTTGGACGTGGCCGAAGAGCAGCAGCTGGACGTGGATGGTGGCCCGGAACGATGATCAGGAAAAAGAAAAAAAATTATTTCTGTGATACCATGCTAGAAACAAGACAAGAGAGATATGATGACGACCATCTTTTTCCCATGATGCCGCTCCAAACAAACCAAAATATATATCAACATTAGGATTCACAATTACTATAAATATACCTAAGGCTAATACGAATAACACGGTTCCACGTAGCACCATAAGAGGGTGAGCCTAGGTGCACCACCATCCTAAAACCAATTGGTGATAGGAGGAGTAGCCCACTTGGCTTATATACTAGGCTCATTTTCCCTATAGAATCAATGTGGGACAACTCACAAGTGATACTCCGACACGCCCCCTCACTTGTGAGTCCTTCGTAAGCCCATGCTCAGAGCAGGTCGGGTAGAGATGGCCGGAGTTGGCCGGGTAGAGATAGAAACCCAGGCAAGAGTCGGTCTGGCTCTAATACCATGTAAGATTAGAGAATCGGGGCAAGAGAATGCGGTCCTACGTAGATTAAGCGCACCATAAGAGGGTGAGCCTAGCTGCACCATAGTGAGGTTCCATCCTAAAACCAATTGGTGATAGGAGGAGTAGTCCACTTGGCTTATATACTAGCCTCATTTTCTCTATAGAATCAATGTGGGACAACTCACAAGTGATATTCTAACACTTAATGGATCGAGCTCGAGCTCATTTAAAGCTCGTTTGGCTAACGAGTCGAGCTCGGCTCGACTCGATAAGGCACGTTAAGGCTCAAAAATTAAATTTTTATATAATTTTTTATAGTTCGGCTCGTTAAAGCTCGGGATCGGCTCATCAAAGCTTGAGCTCAAGTCGAGCTCGAGCTTGATTTCAGGCTCGTTTACTTAACGAGCCGAGTCGGCTCGTTAAGGGCTCGGGCTCGAGCTTGAGCACCCTAAGCTCGAGCTCGAGTTCGGCTTGACTCGTTTACCGCTCTAGGTGAGGGTGAATTTTAGGCCCAAATCATGTCTGTAGTTTCGTGTTAGATCAGTTTGTCTTTTTTCACAAGTATGATTTCAATTTTCATTAAACAATGTTATAATTCGAAATATAATAATTGGCATAAATTCTCTCTCTCTATTGTGCGAAAAAAATCCCAAAAAAGCCCCAAATCTAATTGGCCCTAAATCGCTTCCTCCAGTCACGCTTCGGCGCCGACCGGACCGAGCAGATCTCCTCGTCTGGTGTCGGTGACCCCTCTCCATGGTAGGTTCTCGTCGTGCTCTCCGGTTGTCTACTCGAAGGTTATGGTTTCGGCGGCTTCCAAGACGGGGGAGATCAGCTGACTTCGGCCTTCTCCAGTGAGTTGTCCGGGGAAGGGTAAGCCCTCTTTCTTCGGTTTGCTTCTGTTGCCCTGTGTTGAATATTGGTGGGTCTTGGGTTGGAGAGGGCAGCTTGGTTTGGTGTTTGGCCGAGATCAGTGCTTTGGGTCAGCGGGGGTTGGGGAGGTGCTCCGGTTTCTGTTCTGGCGGCGGCCCGATCGAGTAAGGTATCTTGTTCGGTGGAGGGTCCAACTAGCCGATCGTCGGAGTTTTTGGGTTCTTTTTTCGAGCTAGGTTTCTTCCTCTTGGTGGGTCGTCTTCAGATGTCGGGCCGTCGTCTGTGTTGTTGTTTGTTTGCGGTTGGAGGAGGGCTTATTCTTAGTTTTATGGTGTTATGTGTGTTGTTTGTGTTGTTTTTCTTTTGTAGTTTTTTTTGTGTGTAGTTTGTGTGTTGTTTTTCAGAGATATATTTCAGATAGAAATTTCAGATAAATTTCAGATCCAATCAGATTAAGATTTCATATATAGTTAAGATTTCAGATAGATTTAAAACCCAAATATGCTTAAGATGTCAGTCAGATTAGATTAATTCAGTTTATAGTTCCAGACTTAGAAATATTTCAAAGAATTCTAGAATGCCTCAAAGACAATAAATTTTCAAAATCAGCTCGTAAATCCCTAAAATGATTTTATAGCCGAATGAGCGAACCTAGTCAGCTCAGATAATGATGTTGGAATTTATTTCAACATTTTATCATTCTCTCGTGTGAGAGTGTTTGGTCTTTATTGGTGAGTCTGTTTGTATTGTGGGTGTGTTAGAATAGTTCTGATGTCTACTTGTGTGGACTTCCCTGAATTCGAGTAGATGGTTGCAGCTCATTCTAGTTGATTTCTAGTTGTATTTAGGTGTTTTTATCTATAAACTCTACCATTTCAAAAAAA